CAGGCACAATTTTGGCTATATTACAAATTATAATCATTTATGAAGTACATTCTGCTCATAGGTACTGCCAAAATGTGTCATAACTTTTCCTGAGATTTATTGCAAGGAAATAATTCAGAAAGAAGAAAGGTTCAGAGGTGTTAATATGCCATTTGTAATAATGATAAAGGATAAATAACTGATAAGCCCATGACTGGAATAGCAAAGAAAATAAATATCAGCTGGGTGCTTGCACTGTTGCTTGCATTGTTCTAGTAACTGTACTTGGTTATTTCAAACTGATTTCTCATAATAACTTTATGAGCTAAGTGGTGTAACCATTTTTACAGAAGAGCAAACTGAGGGTCAGGTAAATTTAATGGATCCAGAGTTTTCTTGACCCCAAATATTGGGACCTTAACAATATCATAATGTGGACAGTACAATATTATATGTTACTCACAGTTATAAGTGTGGAGATATGGAAATCTATGTGAAAGTATTTGAATTAATAAGCCAGAGTAATCTATAAATTAAATTATGATATTTAATTGTTAGTTGTTAAAAGAGGTCTAGAAACCTTATCTGATAGAATTATTTGGTTTAGGGACAGCTTGGCACTTGGCCCTCAACTTACGCAGATTTGTGTATTTTTAAATTATATACTTGTGTTATGGTCCAAGTAATGCTCGGCTGCTCCCCTTGATACCAATAAATCAAAGGGGCAGGGAACTGGTGGAAGTTTATTTCCGAGTTCAAATCTAGGGAGAAGAGCTGGACTCAAGGTCTTTCTAAAATGGTTCTATTTCCCATTCAGGCTTTTATGGTTCACTTTTATATGTCCAGAGTTGTTAGTACCTATACATTAGCCATGTGAACAGCAGAACATTGTTTAGAACTTGAGTTTCAGCCACATTTATCAATAGTGACATTTTTCAGGCCAGACTTCCTGGTGCCAGGTATCAGAGGTATCTCAAAACTTTTATCAGTAGGGCCTGGCAGAAGCGTTAATCAAACTTTCCATAGAGTAAAGGGCCTAAGACATCATGTATTATGCAAAATGTGATTATGCAAATCACAAAACTTACAATTACATGGATGCAAAAGTTATACAAATCACAAGGCTTATGATTACATTGATACTATATTATTCAAACTTATAATCATTCAGAAAAAGGGAATAAATGGAGATTCACATCTTTCGGGTGATTGGGTGTAGACTGCAGGGAATTTAAGTATCCCCTGAAGCTACTTACTGGGAGCGCATAGGAGATAAGGGGAAGTGCACCTCTTATTAACTCTCAGGAATATTGTTCAGGAACATTCATACAGGAGCTTGAGCCCTTGCCATGCCCTTCTCTAGGGGCTGTGACAATATCGACAGATGTTAGTGGGTCTCTGTATCACTTTTACTTGAGACCTAGAGAATGTAGGGAATTATTGTCATTCTCACTTAACAGGAAGGTTTGGTTCAGTAGGAAGCCAGTATAATATAGTAGTTTATTACTTTCAACTCAGTGCATCTTAACTTCTCTACTAGCTGTGTGACATTCGGAAAGTCACATTTTTGTTTTCACTACAATTTTTGAAAAATATTAAATGGGAGAATTAATATGAAGGCTTAGGAAAAGAGTGGCATGTAGTAAGCCCTTAATAAGCTAGCTGCTATCATTACCAACAGACATTGCTTATCATTTGACTTCTGAGAGTTGATTTTACTTTAGATAAGAGTTGAGGTGTGTTGGACTATATTAGTTGTCTCTTGCTGCATAATAAATTGCCAAACACTTAGTGATGCAAAACAACAACCGTTGTATTTACTGGCTCACGATTCTTTGGGTGAGTAATTGGGGCTCAGCTCAACTGGATGGTTTGGCTAAACTTGGCTGGGTGGGCCGGGCCGGGCTGGGCTCGGCTCGACTGGGCTCTTCTTGGCTAGCCACTCTTCGTGGGGCCTTTTTGTACAATCAGTGGAAGGGTCTCTGCTGAAGAGTGGAGATGCAGTGCTTCTGAGGTCATGCTCCTGACTCACTGTCATTTCTGCAGTGTTCTGTTGGTTAAACTCACAGGGTTAGTCCAGATTCAGAGGGGTGGGCCGTAAAGTTCACCTTTTTTTTTTTCTGTTCCTTCTGTCTTTTCTAACTTTTAATTTTTTTATCTTGAAGATGTGGGGTACAATTCAGGGCTAGGTATACAAATGTTCATTATGCAGGTGAAGTTCACCTTTTCATGGGAGCTACTGCAAAGACTTTATAATCATTTTTCAGCCTGCCATATAGACTAATCTTATTTCATACTGATTAAGACCAACAGATTGGCTTTCGATAGAGATTTAAAAGGTTACATTTGAATGGCAGGACAGTATTTTAAAAACTCAATAATAGACCCGCCTGGGCAACTTGGGGAGACCTCATCTCTACAATAAATCAAAAAATCAGCCGGGCGTGGTAGCGCGTGCCTGTAGTTCCAGCTGCTTGGAAGGCTGAGGCGGAAGGATCGCCGGAGCCCAGCAGGTCGAGGCTGCAGTGGCCGGGAGTGGCCACTGCACTCCAGGTTGGGTGACAGAGTGAGACTCCAACTCAAAAAACAAACAAACAAAAAAAAACCTCAATAATATAACTATAAAAAGATATATACTTGATAACTAAAATTTTAAAAATATTATTTTAGAAGTTAAATTGAACTTTTAAAAAGAAAATATTAACTACTTAGAGAAGTTAAAATGACATAATTTTGATTTATCTCTAAAAGATAAAAGGTCACTCTTGAAAAAATAACCAAATACTCCTCAGAATAACAAAGGACAGTTTTTTTTTAACATTTTCAAACCTTAAAAAAATACTCTATAGTATTAAAGTTATTTTTAAAATGCCGTGTGATATTCAACCTATTTAATCTTGTCAGATGATATACTAAGAAATGAAGTAATTTTTGTCAAATTCAGTAGGTGGTGCTGTGATAAAACTTTTGTTTCTTTAAAGAGCTGCGTTCAGGCTTCATCTCTACTCTTGTACCTGTGTTTGTTGCAAAAAAAAAAAAGTTGTTTCCAAATAAGGCAAGACTTAACAGAATCTAGCAAGTTTGTTTAACCTAATGCACATTTATTTGCAGTGTTTTATTTTTTTTTAATACAAAGTTAAGTGCAGCAATGTTAGTGTTTTTGTGTGTCTCTGTGTGTCAGAATCTCACTGTGTTGGAAAGGCTGGAGTACAGTGGGTCACGACCACAGCTCACCACATCCTCCAACTCCTAGACTCAGGTGATCCTTCCATCCCAGCATCTCGAGTAGCTGGTCTGCAGGCGTGTACCCCCATACCTGGCTAATTTTCTTCTATTTTTTTTTTGGTAAAGACAAGGTCTTGCTGTGCTGCCCAGGCTGGTCTCAAGCTCCTGTGCTCAAGTGATCCTCCCATCTCTGCCCCCCAAAGTGTTGGGATTAGTTAGAGGCATGTGCCACTGTGCCTGAACATTTGTACACTAATGCTACCAAAAATTTAAAAATGGAGTGTACCATAAATTGAATCTTAACTTTTCAAAACCGTTCCTATGTGTTTTAACTTGACAAACTATTCTCAACTTCTAATTCTTAATAACTAGAGTTTTAAATTATTTTTTATTGTTTATGTAAGCTGAAACAGCAAAGAAGACATGCACTATGACGCCAGAAGACAGAAAATTTTAATATGGCGATTCTGTCACACTTTCAGGGTACTCTTAAGTCTTCTGGAAGCAGAAACCTCTGTAGAAAAATTAATTCACTATTAATGAAACAGCATAAGTAGTTTATTCATTTGAAGTATTTTGAGAGTTTTAGAAAACTTGAATATTGTACATTTAAAAACATAATGTCCAACTGTTGTAAGACCTAGTGAGTTGTGGGTTGTTGGTACATTGAAATGTAATTATCTTAATACTTCCTTTACATTGATTCTAGTTAATTAGTGCTTCCCAATCTGTGGAACATCTGTAAGAAAGTTTCAGGCATCTGATCTAGCGGTCACCACACTGCTGGCCTTGTAAAGTCTTGCTGCCATTCTTAATGGCTGATGTATCATGAAAAGTAACACAACAGAGCATATTTGATCTTCTGAATTTATCTTTGAATGGCCTAATGCTTGATCTTTACTAGGAGACAGAAATGCTTACTGAAAATTGAATAGCGGCTGGGCTCAGTGGCTCAGCCTGTAATCCCGGCACTTTGGGAGACCAAGGTGAGAGGATTGCCTGAGCCCAGCCCAGGCAACTTGGTGAGACCTCATCTCTACAATAATCAAAATTAGCCGAGCATGGTAGCGCACGCCTGTAGTTCTGGCTACTTGGAAGACTGAGGCGGAAGGATCGCTGGAGCCCAGCAGGCTGAGGCTACGGTGGCTGTGAAAGTGCTACTACCTTCCACCCTCGGTGACAGAGTGAGACTCCAACTTAAAAAAAAAAAAAGAAAAGAAAATTGATTAGCAAGTTTGTATAAAGTTACATTTTGAAATAGGTAAAACATTTAGGAAGCAACAACTATATATATAAATGTATAACATATAATGTATATAAGATTATATATAAACTTATATGTATGTATAGTTTCAGAAAGCTGTTACAAAGATAGAGATATTAATGTTTAAATATTTGGAAGCATGTAGTAGTTATCAAATTTGGAAAATATTACTTGTGGCATTTACTATTCATCATTTTTCTTTCTTGGTATATAAAAAAATGGGGTTTATTTGTTACTTTTGTGTTAAAATATGGAACTTCTAAATGAAATTTATCCTTAATATAATGCCTCCTTTCTCCTTCCCCATTTGAGTTCTAGCAAATGCAACAGAATCTAAATTTATTATTATTTTTTCTTCTTAACACACATATGTAGCAGCCAGAAAGAATCTGAATTTAGACTGTGATCTCTTTTCACTTAATCTTTGTTTTTCTTTTGAATTTGTTAATGTAATATTTATTTTTTTACCTTCTGTTTCTAATTACCAACCAGACTACTGATACAGCAGTTGATATCACATGTTGTTTTTCAGCTGATTATCTGGCTCAGGCATTTGATTCTCTTTGTTTGGATTTGAAGACAGATGAAGGAAAAACCTTGTTTTTGGAGTATCAAGCTGTTCCAGTAATATTAAGTCATCTAAGAATATCCAGTAAAGGACTGCTATCTAATGTTCTTGACAGTTTGCTTCAGATGACAGTGGAGTCTCGTAAGTTTTCAAGTTTTATATCTGTAAAAAACTGAAAGTGGGACATCTTTTCTAATCTCATCTGGTCTGATGTATAACTCCACATATCAGACACTATTGCATTTTATAATTCAAATGCCAAAAGTATTTTTGACAGCTGTTTAATCAAGTCATTAATGATATCACTAAGAATTTTTAAATCTTACTCTTTGTTCAGATCTTCACTCAATACATCCAGTAGTCATCTGTTATGTTGGTAACTGCACACGTTACTCACATATCTGAGCCTCTTTCTCTGTTGTTCTCTTTTGTCCTTTCATTCTTCCTTTTTTTTTTTTTTTTTTTATTTGGAGTCTCACTCTATCGCCCAGGCTGGAGTACAGTGGCACACTCATGGCCACCCCAGCGTCAACCTGCTGGGCTCAGGCGATCCTTCTGCCTCAGCCTTCCAAGTAGCTGGAACTTCAGGCACATGCTACCACACCCGGATAATTTTTTGATTTATTGTAGAGATGAGGTCTCACCAAGTTGCCCAGGCTGTTCCCGAACCTGTGGGTTCAGGCAGCCCTCTCACCTCGACCTCCCGAAGTACCGGGATGACAGGCTTGAGCCACCATGCCCAGCCATTTTCTTTTATTTTAAGAGATAGAATCCTACTCTGTTGCGGAGGCTGGAGTGCAGGGGTGCAGTGATGGTACACTGCAACCTCAAACTCCTTGGTTCAAGTGATCCTCCTGCCTCAGCCTTCTTTTATCCCGTCATTCTCACAGATCTAATCATATATTCCATGTTTGCTCAGAAGGGGTGATGTTGCCAGATATGTCTCCACCTAAGTTGAGAATAATGAAACAGACATATTCCTGTGTTGCCTCTTACTGGAGGGATTGGGAGCCTGGGGAACTTCGCCATATATATGGCTACTCCGTTTAATTTCTATCTGTAATGTTTTGTGGTCTGTGGTTTTCTTCTTGTTTTTTATATTGGCATAATGAGTTATTTTAATTTTGAGCTAATGGTTTCTTTCTTTCTTTTTTTGAATAAGAGTCTCACTTTGTTGCTCAGGCTAGAGTGCAGTGGCATGCTCATGGCCACCGCAGTCTCCACCTACTGGGCTCAGGTGATCCTTCCACCTCAGCCTTCCAAGTAGCTGGAACCACAGGCGTGCACCAGCATGCCTGGCTAATTTTTTGATGTATTGTAGAGACGAGGTCTCACCAAGTTGCCTAGTCTGGTCTCGAACCCGCTGACTCAGGCAATCCTTTCGCCTCTGCCTCCCAAAGCGCTGGGATGATATGCGTGAGCCGCTGTGCACCGCTGAGCTAATTGATTCTAACTGAGCACAGCTACAGCTACGTACAGGGATGCTGAACATCAGTGTTTTAATTTGCTCCCATTGGCATTGTTCTTTGAACCTCATGCAACCCCTTGACCCATAGCAAGGTGTCATTTTGCTTAAATGACTCTTTGTCATGTGTATTCTGCTGCCTTCCCTCTGTAGCACTTCTAAAAATGAAATGTGTCTGCCTTCCCGAGGTGGAAACTCAGAGTGGGCAGCCACTGCCCCTGTGGCGTTGAGCAGTCTGTGGCCTTGGTGCTGCTGGCAGTGCCTCCCTGTGGCTGCATGCACAGGCGGTGGTGCTCTGACTAGGTGCATTCAGTGTGCCGCTTCACGGTTTCAGTTCACTTGTGCGTGTGGTATTGTTTTTCCTGCACAGCATCTCTGTGAAGAAGGCCTGATAGGGAAACTGAGGGCTAGAAAAGTTAGGTGACTTCTCCAAGAATTCCACAGCTAGCAAGAGGTAGAACTGAGGCTTAACGCCAAGCCTCTGATGCTGGGCATGAGGCTTTCTGTCATAGCTCTGTAGGTCATCTTTCCAGGTTTGTCCCGAAATGCCATATGTTCTCTGACGTATCTTATCAACATGTTTTGGCCATTCGTAACTGTTAAGTATTGGACTTATAGGTGAGGATCTAGCTATCTAGGTCAGTAATCTTGGGGTTTTGTATTTCAGCTTACTGACTTAAGGAATAGAATAAGAAATGAGAAGCTGGTGAACTGAGACTTAGAGATCTGGGGTTACTTAAGTGGCCAGAGTCCCAGCTTGTTTTGCAAGGCTATTTTTTAAATGGGAAAAACAAAAATCTTGCCACATGACAATGTCTCTTATCAGAACGGATCTTTCTGAATATGTCTAGCAAGGATGAAGTCTTTCTCCGTGTAGTCAGAAGAAAACTCAAGATACTTTTATGAAATAGCTGGTCTGCTTGTGTGAAGTGGCATTGTGGCACCAGAGGTTCAAGTTTGGCGAAGCCCTGCCAGATTAGGGCGCCAGCTGCCGTCGCGTTTGCTGGCGTGCCTTGTGCACATCACTCCCAAGCCAGGCTAGGCCCCTCTTGCTCAGATCGAGCGAGTAGAGCAGGTTCTGGTGCCGAGGACCGCCGAAACCACGGAGCTGTCAGTCTGGGGGGACTCAGAATTTTAGTTGCTTGCCATGGTTCTCGTTTTTAATGCAAATCCAGGACCTGTTAGCCAACACAGTTCCTTGAAGGGGCAAATGAAATGACAGATAAAATTGCAGCAAATACTTCTCTAGCTGTTGGTTTTTTTGTTTTTTTTCTAGTTTTGAGATTGGACACTCATTTTACTGTAGACTTAATTTTTCCCTGCCATCTTTTTTAAGACCATAGGAAAAAGTTGTTGCGAACGAAACCGCAATAGAATTGATTTGCAAATGGGTTATTCTTACCTCACCAATGGACACTGGTTACCAGCTGTGTGTACAGCGCCATGTTTGTAATCACTGTGTTTGCCAGGAGCTTCCTCGGGAGCCCTCAGGGCTGGGAGGAAGCGTCCATGAGCTGAGGGCTAAGTTCCTATGACTGTTTCCCTGGAAGGTCAGTACAGAAACGGAGGATTCAGGAACGTGTGTAATGCTGTAGCAGCCATTTTTTGTCTGTTAAATCTGATGTTAACAAGCATGTGGACTTGTATTTTATATGCTTTTCTTAAAGTTAATTTTTTAGAACTTTTTGATGGCATTTCTATAAGGGTGCTGGCCTCTCACACACCCTTGCCGCAGTCGTCTGGAAGCAGTAGCAGCCCCATCTGTGCCGGTGGCTTGTGCCGAACACTGTCAGAGGGAGGGTGCTGCTGCTGCCTTTTTTCTCTCCTCTCCCTCGGTCCTGCCCCTAGGTTCGTCTTTTGAGATAGGCGATGCCTTAGTAGCTGCATAGGGACTGTTTTTTTAAAGCTGCTAAAATGTATCTTTTGAGTGTAAATTAAGATCTACACCTTGGTTTATCTTGCCATATATATTATGAACACAGTTGTTTTTTTTTTAGATTGAAGGATTTTGATTATATCTATTTTGGGCATGAGTATATATCATGTAATAACTTAGTGGTATTGCTTTTAGGAAACTACTTTGTGTTTTTTTTTTGTTTTTTGTTTTCCTCTCAGTGGTTGAAACCCATTACCCACTTTTCTGGGTTTTGGTGTATAAGAACTTGAGTCTTATTTTGTTGCAAAGAATACTTTCCTTTTCTTCTCAGACTTGTTTAAATAGAGGGATTTAAGTTTGTGTTGTTTATTCTCTTTTGTGGCCTAGAAACTACCTAGTCTAGGTAACATGTTGCTCTTTAACAGTTGATGTATTTGAGAACATTTGTGCAGACTTTTTAAAAAAAATAACGTTTATCTATTTAGATATTAAAATTTTTTTTCTTCTTTTTTGCATACTCTAATTTCTGCCTGTTTTCAAATTCAGAAATTAGAGTATGGGAATCTTTTGACAACCCCAAGACTAGGAGTCATAAAATATAAAAACCTGGATGATAAAAAAGTAACAATAGCATCATGAACATTTTGAAAAAATAACTTTTCTTTTATTCCAAAACAAATGAATTTGAAAATATTGTGTAAGTATCTTTATGATAATTTGAAAATGTAATTGTTAGGTCAGTGGGCCGGTACTGCAGGTAGAAGGCAGAGAATTATACAGAAATTAGATTGGGAAAAATAATTTATTTAGAAAGTAGATTAGAGAGAGAAAAGGGTGAATCCACCTCTCCAATATGGAGAGAAAGGGCCAGAACTTAAAGAAAGCATGCCCCTCTGCCCCGCCAATTTTTTTTGAGCTGGAGTCTCACTCTTGTCATCCAGGCTGGAATTCAGTGGCACGCTTAAGGCCACCGCAGCCTCTTCCTCCTGGGTTTAGGCAATCCTTTCCACTTCAGCCTTCTGAGTAGCTGGAACTACAGACACACACCATCGTGCCTGGCTAATTTTTTTGTGATTTACTGTAGAGACAGGTCTCACCAAGTTGCCCAGGCTGGTCTCGAACCTCCGGACTCAGGCAGTCCTCTCGCCTTGGCCTCCCACAGTGCTGGGATTACAGACTGAGCCACCGCGCCTGGCCTAAAAAATTTTTTTGAGTCAGAGCCTCAGTTAGTTGCCCAGGCTGGAGTGCAGTGATGCAGTCACAGCTCACAGCAGCCTCAAACTCCTAGGCTCAGGCAGTCCTCCCACCTTAGCCTGTCAAGTAGCTGGGACTATAGGCATGCGTCACCATACCTGCCTAGTTTTTACATTATTTTGTAGAGATACGGTCTCATTATGTTACCCAGGCTGGTCTTGGACTTATGAGCTCAAACAGCCCTCCAGCCCAGCCTCCCAAAGTGCTGGGATTATAGGCATGAGCCACTGCATCTGGCTACATTTTATCTTTATTATAAAAATAATAAAAATCAGCCAGGGTGGCTCAGCCTGTAATCCCGCGCTTTGGGAGGCTGAGGTAAGTAGATTGCCTGAGCCCGCGGGTTTGAGACCTGCCAGGGCAACTTGGCGCGACCTCATCTCTACAATCCTCGTCTCTACAATAAAACAAAAAATTAGCCAGGCACAGTGGCACACACCTGTATTTCCAGCTACTTGGAAGGCTAAGGCGGAAGAATCACCAGAGCCCAGCAGGTCGAGGCTACAGTGAGCGGGAGCGGCCATTGCACTCCAGTCTGGGTGACAG